GTTTATCTGGCAGATTATTTTCCGACAATACTTCGCTAACCTTTTACATTATTCTTTTTAACAATTATCGGGATGCTTTATTCTTTTAAGGTTTAGCGATTCCTAACTGGGTTGTGGGGTCTCCCCCCCCTTTTCGTCGGTGCGGACTTACTTTTTTCCGCTCGGGAAGCGCAAGTGTGTGCGAGTTTTTCTACGGCGCTTTTCTTTCGTCGGTGAGTTGGTTTTTCTTCTATTTTTAAGTTACTAAGGTGAATGGTGAGGAAACCTTCGTCTTAACTAAACATAAGCCCCAAACAAAATATAATGAAAGCAAAATAAAAGTAAAATAAAAATAAAGCTCAGACTTGGTTCCTTACAGTGCATTCTCCTTTATTGATGTGGTGGCCATCAGAAATTTCTTGTTCTTCGTGTTCCCGTTTTTTTCTTTCAAAATACTCCAGGGGCTTGTCTTTTAATCCAGGGTGCATGGCATTCAAGTGGCAAAGCAGTTTTGAACGTTTCATTGCCTCGTTAGAGAGCTGGTCGCCGCAAACTATGCAGAGCGGGATTGGTGTGTGAGAATCACCTGTTCCGATAAATCCATATTTCAAGTAGGACTTATGGTATTGTCTGTTAAAAGTTTTATGTTTCTTTGATGTTGAAGGCTTTTTTTGTCTCTTCACTGGGCCATTTCTTTTTCCCAAGGAAACTTTTTAACGATGTCTGTTTTGTACTCATTTTTGCTAATTTATGGGTTAAATTTGAGCAAACACAATATACACGTATATCGGTGAAGTCAGACCAACTTAGACCAACCTAACAGATCTTAGGTGAACTGAACTTTCCCGCCTAAACCCAATTTTTTATATGGATTGAAGGAAACACTAATTGACCAATCAGCGTTTTGTAGTGCTATCGGATGTCTGCCGATCATACGATGTTTGCTGGCCAATCAGCGCTCCTGTTTTCGAAACTAACACTCATTTCTTGATCCGAGCTTCTATGGCGTCAACCATTGCTCATTTGAAAAGAAAAATGGCGGGAAATGTACATCCAGATGATTTCATCACGACACTCTCCACCAAAGCTACAACGCCACTGCTGCTTGCAGCCGCTCAGCTCCAGACGTCACCTAAAATCACAATATTTTGTGCATGCACGGTATTGGTGCTGTTTTAGGTGACGACTCAGCTCCCAGTTAACCACATGTCCATTAAAAGTCGCACAAACCCAAGAGAAATGCACCACAGTAAATAAAATGGAAATAATTTAATGTTCCTTGGGCAGCCCAGTACTATTTGATTTACGGACCGGTACCGGTCTGTGGCCCAGGGGTTGGGGACCACTGTTTTAGACTATTAAAAAATAACTTTTTTAGACCAAAATTTCTATTGATTAATCAGGAATTGCAAACAGTTTCCTATTTCATGTTTTATTGCTTGTTACCTATTGATTTGTTCCAAAATAAACAATTGTGAGTTCTGACTATTTTGATTGAAAATAAAACACATTTTTTATTTATATATATATATAAAATCACAAAAAAATATATATTATTTGTGATTTAACTTGGTTTGTTTTTTTATTCAAATTTTAAACCAAGGGAATTGACAAAATGTTAATTTTAAATAATAATAAAATTTTAAATATACAAAAAAAATACAATGAAAAGAATTATTGAACTGGAAAGTTACAAATTATAATTTTTTAGTTCTTGTTAAGAAAAAGATTTAAGCAGTTGAACTATATGTAAAAATAGCTATTTATATATAATCATAACCAATTGATATTTCTTGTTTTTCAAAGATGGATTTTAATATAAAAATATTAGGAATATATAACTTTTAGCTTAATTATTTTGAATTATTTTAAATAAATCGTAAAAATTATTATTATATGAATATATTAAAACTTATAACAAATAACATCCAAGGTGATGACTTTCCTGGAAAATTAGAATGCTCAGAGTGTTTCGTTTTTCAGTTTTAAAATGTA